TCAAATCTAATGAGCCTTCAACCAGTTCGAAGTAGCAAAAAGGGACAAAAAATATTCAAGAAATTTCAGATTCCTGAAGTTTTATTGGAATTGGGATTCTGATTCAAAACAAAACAAATCTCCTCTTCCTTCCCAGAACGATTGTAGCTGGCACTCGACTTTTCTCAAGAAGGTGAAGTCAGGTTACATTTTCATTTATTTCATCAAATTGCTTTTGTATTTATGTATTTTAATATTAAACAGTATATAAATTATTTATGCAACCCCATCAGTGTATAATAGGAGTCGCTGTGGCGTTGGCGGCTAGACACCCGCCTGCAGATCGGAAGGTCGTAGGTTCGTGTTCCGTCAGGGCCAGACTTTTTTTTCAAATGGCCTTCACTCCCAGGTCGACTGAGCCTTGAGTGGGTACCAGGTGCAGTCCTAGGAAGTAAAAACGGCCGGCATGATGCTGACCATATCACCTACAAAGTGCTGATTGGTCTATAAAAATATAGGTCTAGCCCTATATTCCCAGTACACCTATAGGCGTGAAGAATGGGTTCTCTACCTTTATCAGTGTATCTATGCCAATAACAATAGGATTTTTTCCCCTCATGTATTAATGATTCTTCCTGTATTTTGGATAGCAAAATTTGTTTGATATACATACTGTTTAGTATACAGGCCGCGTTAGTGCTTTCAAATCCAGCTGCGACTCCCTGCAGCCCATGACCTGCGTTCGAAACCGGGCGGTTCCAGGAGTTCACCCAGCTTCTAGGAAATGGGTACCAGAGTTAACACTCTAGGGTTAATGGAGGAATGTTGCTGTAGCTACAGAGTTGTGTGCAGATGGCGACACAGGTGGACAGTTTTCTTATCAGCTGTCCGTACTGGTGGCAGAGCACTTATGGTTTATAACCGTGTGCAATGACACTGGTTCACATCTACCGACTTTACCCATTTATTGTTGACTATGAATTCAATAATTAGAAATGGATTTGAGACAATGTATATTAAGGTACCACTTTTTCACCATAAAGTCATAACTTATAATTATTTTTTTTAAAAACATGTGTTCAATTTTATTTATCTTAATTAATGTAATAGTTGTACAACTTTTTTTACCAGTGAATGTTATCATATTAATGGACAGAGTATATGTTGATCACTTCCTATACATACATTCTCATATTTTTCTACTTAAAACTGGACCAACATTAAACATTATTCTCTCTTACTTGTTTATGAGCTTCATTATTTTGCATTAGTTGTATATTTCTGTTATTACCTCTAGTACATTCTTATAGATGAAAACAGTGGCTTGTGAGTTGAATTCCTACAGATTCTCAGAACACTATGGACAAAGAATACTGACATTCTAAGACATCTAAACATTAAGAAAGATTGGCTAATAAACAGCATCTTGTCTCAGAAGTAGAAATATTTTGGCCATATCAAGCGCCACAGTGGAAAAAAATAATAGCAGAAGGCGTTGTACCAGGAAGGAGGGACAGTGGCCGACTGACACGGACATGGGGGGAGGATATATGTGATTCCTTATGAAAGTGCATGAGGCGAGCAAGCCGGTGAGAGAGATTCTTTCAGGCAGACTGTGATGAGGAGATAACGTTCTGCAAGGGACCTGCTAGATGATGACAGCCTCTACTGCCGTCCCCTCACTACAAAGTTCTAACATTCATTTTGCCAATTCTGTAGTTTCCTAGGTGAAAGGAGGAGGTGCACAGATGATCTGGATTTTGTTGCTCCACCATGTGACAGGCCTAGCAAGCTGGCAGCGGTATAATCAACCACTACTACACAAGAAAGAATACCGAGTTATAAATCATTGTAACAGTAAGATGACAAGACAGAGAAGAGGCTTAACATGGGAACACACAGGGGCATAAAAATAAAGGCAAACACCTTCCACCCTACCAGAGAAGTGAGCTAATGGGTGAAGCTGAACAGATGAAACATAAAGGGGGTGTGCTGAGCCAGCGTTCCATTTGTGGATAAAGTGAGTTAGAAACAGGATATTAATTTTTTTTTAAAGTTTTTTGACAGCTGCTTTAATCATTTAGAATTTGCTCATGATCCAAAGACAATAGAAAATGAAATCTACCTCCCCATTTTCAAGTGCCCTGCTGACCGACACTGCATGATCATGCCTCTCCATAACATGCCATCTTCAACGGCATGTATCAGTTCATGTTTACTGACACCCCTCCAATCCACTGCAAAAAGCCCTCAACTTGAATCATTTTCTACAGGGTGTGAGTAAAGTGTCAAAAGCTAAATCTTTGTATGTAGAACACATTGGAAAAACGAAGCACATGGCACAATGAAAAAAAATTGCGTCAGTCATGAAGAAATGTGCAGTAAATAGCCGTCAACTCTTGGAGTTATTCTTTGCACACAAAACAGAATGGTGTTAGAAGATAGAAAGCATTTGAAAATTCAAAGAGACATGTAAAATAATGTCTTGAAACCTCAGGTGGAAATTTCCAATACCTGTTATAAAAAATATTTCAATGGTATTTTCCATCTTCCACAAAACAGCATTAGACCAAATTGTTAACTTAAAGGATTTTTAGCCCACTTTTTTGATGACATCATGTATCTGTACGGGTAACTTTGTTCTTTACAAGGGCAAGCAAGGAAAACCGGCTCCCCTTCAAACTTCGTCCCCATAGTATGGTGATTAAACAAATACCCTAACTGGGCCCTGGTCATGCATAAATGCAGACTTCCTCGGAGGAATACATAGCGGCAAAACTAGGATTACTGTCCGTTGACACTTTTTAGTAACGCAACAATACACACAATAACAGCGTCATGGCGGGGAAACCACCAGCTCTGGCGCAGGTTAGCAATAGTGTTCTTCCGATTAAACACACCACTGAGCATATCCCCTGGATTAAGGGTAAACTAGATGGCAGGGACTCACAAACAGCAGCTGCAGCATCTCCTGCAACTTCCAATTTATTTGCTCATGAGTCCCAGCCATCCAGTTTAGCCCCCAATTCATGCCACATGCATTGGCACAGGGGATTCTGTCGGCGGTGCGGCATAGTCGCAGAAACAGGTCCACAATTAACATATCGCTGAGACCCTGCTGGAACATGCTTGCCCTCGATAATATTGGCCTGTTATTCGGAGGTGACCCTAGTTTTGGCGCGATTTGTTCCTTGACAGGCATCGCATTTTATACATGACTGAGGCTCTATTAGGGTATTTGTTGGCCACCATAATTTGGGGACGAAGTTTGAAGGAGAGCCGGAAAACCTGTCACCATGGCTTACCTCTGATAAAATCAAACACTAAGGAACCTTCAAGGCCAGCCAAAAAGCATGAGATTTCAGGTCTCACTCACTGATCACACACAAAGTAATTAATGAAAATCAACAGTGTGCCAGATTTTATAACAGAACAAGCTAACATAAATAATAAACTAAACACAAGCAGGCACATATCACTGTTTAATTAACAAAACTTCATAATGCAACACAATTTCATTATACTATTACATGAATGACGGGACTTCACAATAGAACAAAATCCACCGCAAAGGTATTATAGGATCTTTCGATGCAATATAGTAGTCTTACTTCATTGTGCTTTTTGTCTCGTTGCGCTGGCCTTATCTTAAGCTTTCATGTGTCTTATTTTCAATATGCTTTATTGATAAAATACAATTGCAGCCTAACAGATGATTGTTTAGAAGGGTCGAATGTAAGACAGGCACGTATGCCCAATTATTGACCCTCTGAAATAATGACTGTCGATTAGGCCAGGTCTAGCCTAAAATGAGTATCAGGTAATGTCCTGGGAAGTTAACGTGACCAACACTGAACTTATTAACCAAGTGTCGACTGATCTATAAAATATGCACCACCGGCATAAAAGGGGTCCTTTATTTACATACCTTTGACTTATTACCTCTTTCTCTCAACACCAAGTTATAATTATGCCAACTTCTTTCATAACACTAAACCCTAGTTTAAGGCAATCAGTGTTCAAGTACAAAACAGAATTCCTTGGCCATAAGAAACCACAATTAAAACTTTGATCAAATATAGCTGGCACATTTTAAAGTGATAACCGAATAACGTTAACAATTTCAGGACTTCAATTTAGCTTCGTCTGTCTGGGACAATCTTTCCCAAGAATTTGAATGAGGACAAAAGAAACTTATGACCAGAATCCTCATGGAAGGGATATTTCAACAAGCTGACCTAGTCAGTTTTCCATCGTCTGTTTTGCGTTATTAAAAATTTTGGCTGAAACATTACAAAATATATTTGCTTTGATTCTTCTTAATATCAGTTAGTCTCTATTTATGCTTCATGAATGGTCTTTTTGGCTCCAGCCGCCTCATATTTAATTAAAACAATTGCCGTTACGTCGAACAAAACTCTCATATTGATAAAATTTTAAAATACATCACATATTATGTATAATACACTTAAGTACCAACACAATTCACACTAAATTATATCTAACAAAAGATACACAAGCACATAATGTGTCCAAAGGATGAATATTTAACCAACAATAAAAAGCGATCAATGGTGGTGGTCATATTACCCTCCATGGTGACTGTCCTCACGGATGAGATAGGAGATGGTTAATTTTGAGTAATTAAACAAATGAGCAAATGATTGAAGGGCTAAATGTATGCCCGTCGTGGGAAGCCTTTTTGATCATGAGTACTGCCCAGGGTTTGTTTTAACTTGTTATCTCCTGGAGACTGCTCTGGCAAGGTGGTCTTCGTTTCTATGCCCAGAAAACTTCCCTGGCACGCACAAGGAATGGTATTGATGCCGCAATGAAAGCCAATAAAGAATGTCACTTTAAAATCCACAGAGGACATAATATGCAGAAATGATGGCATATGAAGAGTTAACAAATAAGTAACATGAGAATAATACTAACAAATTTTGTTTTAAAAAATAAGACATACAAGAGCAAAGCATATATGAACGGAAACAAAACGCCAGGGGCTACATCAGACAGACTCAGTGTAATGAAACAATGCCATTTTCCATCAGCTTCTGTATTTTGGCAGCAACTTCTGGGTTTTTCAGATGCCTGGAATGATACAGAGAGAACCGTTTACCATGTTGTTCAATGTAAACGTAAACGTTTTATAAAATACAGCACCCAGGTCAATTTTTTTTTCATGTTCTAGTGATGCGCTTGTTCTTCTTCAGCATTCCGAGCCCTTCGGGTTCATTGCAGCAAATATCACCCGCCCCCATTTATCTATCTGGTTGGCCTTCTCTTTCCAGTTGGCGACACCAAGTGTTTGCAGGTTTGTCGGACATTATTTCCTCATTGTCTTCTTGGTCTGCGACCATTCATTTCCCTTGTGTATACAGTTTTCACTTCTGTCATCTGACATTCTTTTAATATGCCCAAACATTTCAGTCTATTAGCTCTCGTGATGCCAGTTACAAATGGTGATTTAAACAGATTATGAAACCATGTATGATGCACACACAAGAAATAATTTTCTCAATGAATGTTGTATGACTGAGAATACTAAATACCTTGTACTTCTGCTCATTACCCCCTCAGGATATTGGGTGATGAAATAATGCAAAGCTGCATGATCTTATTGGCATCTAAATCCCACGCAGCTTACCCTGTTATCATATCATTCAGCGGCTATCCTCCGGTCGGCAAAGATGGTGGCCGCAAAAATCCTTTCGAGCCACAGTCGCGTGTCAACTGCGCACTAGCGGTCACGAGCACACCATGGCTGCTGCTTGTGGGTCCTAGCCATCTAGTTTAGCCCCATTCCACGCGGCCGCCATCTTTGCCGACCATGAGTCGGAGGATAACCCATTCAGCTCACCCCATCAGCTGATACAACATATCATTCAGATCAACTTCAAAAAGACACCTGGCCTCAAAAGTGCGCAGAGCAAGTTATAGGGAATCATGCAGGACCTGCAGCTGACATGCGAGTTTATAGAGGTAGCCCACCTGCTGTTCTGACCTTAGCATACGAAACCGAAGGCAAAGAGATAAAAAAATACACTGATGATAGTTGTATATACTTACTCTCTAGCTGCTTTGGGATCCTTAGACATCTGTGCTAAAATCATCTGCATGGCCGGGTCACTCAGGATCTGCTGGACCTCAGGGTTGGACATGGCCTTTTGTTTCACGGCTTCTGGGTCTTCATTTTCTAGCATGAGAGCTTTCCTATAACCTTCCAGAGCTTCCTGTAAGTCAACAAGCAACACAGGCTCAAAACAAAAAGCATACACATTAAGTCTTCTTTTACATCCTCATCTGCACTCCAGTTCTGACTCTGTCTACCTCAGGACTTAAGTCTTGTTCCAGAAGCTGAGTGTTGCGTGATCATTCATTTTACACAACTGACTTATCTAATCTATATGCAGCCTGTTGGTTCTGGTCTCTCAGTCACATGCACTCTGACTTCATAGCAGGGTTCATAGCCAAATTTACCAATCAATTTCAAGGCTTTTCAAGGTCTTTTTTAAGGTCTCCTTAGTTTTTTTCAAGGTTGTCTCGATGTAATACTGAAACAAGATTTTTGCCTTGTTCAAGGGTGTACTGAGCACACAAGGTACTTCATTTGTGCCACATGTGTTGGTATACCAGCACAGATATCATCATCATGTAGCATTTCCTTTGTCCTGACAAAAAAACCTCGGTCTCTCACCAGCTCTCCAGCCTCATGTACTTTTTTATACTCAAGGAGTCACTTATATCCTGTGCCCATCTTTGTGTTGGTCGGCCCCTGAGCTTAATAAAGTGTTTGAAATTTTTTTTTAGGGCTTGGTGGTAGAGGGCAGCAAACTGAAGTCCTGTCTGTTCTGGACCTGGTACCTGAGAGGGTTAGGGGAGAGAGAGAGAGAGTCATGAAGAGAGAGGAAGACACATGCTAAGGTAGGCTGGGAGAGACAGTGTAAAGATGGACAGATGAAGGTAGAGAAAAAAAGGAAAAGAAGTCTGGGGACGGAGGAAAAAATGAGAGGGAGGGATGGAGACATGATGAGGAAAAGTGGGGAAGGGAAAGCGAAAGACAGAGAGGGAGACAAATACAGAAAGAGGGAATGCAGATACAGAGATGGGCAGATGAAAAGAGGAGGAAAAAGGGAATGAAACAGATATGGAAGGAGGAAAATATGACAAAGAGTTGAAAGAAGGGAGACAGAGGGAGAGAGAACGGACAGGGAGAGAAGCAGATGCAAGCAGAGAGAGATGTAGACATAAAGGAGAGAGAGACAAAGGGACAGCACAGAGAGGCAAGCAGACAGAGGGAGAGAACCAAAGAAAGAGAAAAAAGGCACAGCAGGAGAATGGGAGGGATGCATACAAAGAGGAAGTGATGAAGGGAGGCAAACAGACATAAAGCAAGAGAGAGAGAGAAGCGGGTAAGGAAGGCAGTGACAAACACAGATTAAGAGAGGGGGGCAGAAAGGGAGACAAGATACCTCAAAGAAAAAAAAACAGCCACCTACTCCCCCCCCCATAATTTCAAGTGTAGAGGACACAACCACTAGGAAAAGATAGTCATGGGGCAAAAAAAAAATACGTAGATGAACCAGTAAAAAAAAATGGGGGGGAGCGGGTAAGGAAATCTAGAGAAAATGAAAAGAGACAGGATGGAGAGGAGACAAAGAAGAGATGGGACAGGAGAAAGGGCGAGGAAAGGAAGAGAGGAAGAATGGAGAGAGAAAGGAGAATAGTAGAAGATCAAAGGAAAGAGAAGGGGTGAGAGAAGAGAGGTAAGACACGGTTGTGGGGGGGAGGGGGTGTAAGAACAATGAGTGCCAAAAAAAATAGAATTAGGAAATCTCTAAGTGAGGCCACTTTTCTGGTTCCTACCCTCTCCCAATGTGAATGTGGCGTGGTCCAAAAACAACAGTGCTAACCCCTACTGCCCCTTGCTTGTCCTATCTGTGTGTGACAACAATAATTCAATTTCTTACACTTAAGGCTGGTGACCTGAGAGCCAAGGTCATTTTATGAAGAAAAAAAAGTCCAGGGGATCCCAACCCACCACTGGTGGAAAATAGAGAAGTTTACCCACACACATAAATAGGTCAGACACATAAATGGGTCAGGGCAGCAGTGGACTTCGTTTTATTTCTGGTTTTCCAATTACAGAAAGTAGGGGAGAGAGGAGGTGGTGGAAAGTGGTGTAGAAGGCTGAGACAGAGGAGGTGAGAGAATAAAGTTTAAGAAAATAAAGTGGGTACTGAGACAGGGAGAGAAAGAAGGGAGTAAGAAATAAGATGAGATATAGAGGGAAGAAGGTAGCAGGAAGAGGTGCAATTCCCCCCCTCCCCTAGGTGTCATCAACGTGGGGGGAGAAAGGAGGGGGGAGGGGGGTGACGGCAAATGTGTTTTTAAAAGTACACATATATTTAATGTGTGGGAGGGGGGAGTGGTGGACATGAAATGTTCTGCACTAGGCAACTCATAACCTTCTATGCCAACTGAAGGTACGGAGAAAGAAAGAAAGAGAGAGAGAGAGAGAGAGAGAGAGAGAGAGAGAGAGAGAGAGGGGGGGGAGTGAGGGAGAGTGGCAAATACAAAGAGAAAGAGGAAAGCAGTGACACAGACAGGCAGAGAGTGAGGAACAGGTAGGACAAAATGTGAGGGGCGGGAAGGGAGATGGACAGAGAATAAGGCCAGCTAGGAAAACAAACACATCAAAAGAAAATATCCACCATGTCCACACAGAATGCCCCCCCCCCCCCCAATACAACTTCCTGTGTACTTGAGTTGCTAGGAAGAGTTATGGAGCCGCACATTTACTAAACATTTAAACAAGAAATAAAATAGGAAAAAGGGGGAGGGGGGACAGGAAATGAGAGAGTAAAAGGAAAGATAGAGAGAAAGAGAAGAAATGAAGATCAGAAGGGAGGGCTAGAGACAATGCAGGAGACGGGAAGGAAGGAGCAATAGGTAGAAGAGTGAAAGAGGGAGGGAAGAGAGAGAGAGGGGTGAGACAACAGAAGAGGGAATCTCGGGGAATTACAATACTGATCGCCAAACACACTGTAAAGATAAATCCAGGCCAAAAATAGAACTGGGAAATCCAGCTGCAGTCACTTTGCTTAGCCCCAATGCCATCTCTAATTAATAGAGAAGGCCGTGCTTAGCCCCCACCACTAGCGACTCTATTTATAAATACAACTGAACCGAGCCCCACCATCTCCCAATGTAATCCTTTCTAGAAACCACGGCCATAAACGATTTATACTGTTCATTCTGCCCCACTTGCTAGAAACAAAGGCACACACACATGTGAGACGGGAGCTGCTCCTTCCCGCCACATGCCACACCGCTGCTGTCTGCATGTATTCATGATCTGCAACAAAGCCCGCCCTCCCCTGGCCTTTAACAAGCCATTTCTGCTGAAAATAGCCAATAATCAGCTGCCCTCACACCTGAAACGACCATACAACGAAAGTAGCCAAAAACTAGCCAAATGGCTCCCCCAAAATTGCCTGTGCTGAAAAAAAACAGGATTTCTGACGATTTCATTGCCTCGGAATGTCTTTTATAAGCTAAAAATCACGGTTCAAGGTCAACGAAAAAAAATCCCGGTAATTTCCCGATCCACTACGAACTCTGTCATAGGAGCTCCCAAGTAGTCAACTCTTTTGACATGCTTGTCAGGAGGCAATAGATCTATTCTGGGTTTCCCCCACAATGGGGCCTCATAACCTACATGCGAAAAAGACAGAGTCTAAGAACAATATCACATTTCCATAAGCATTCTATCCCCCTCTTCAACAGCCAACATTGAGTTCAATATATAAGCCACCAGTAGCAGTCTGACTGTCCGAGTCCCGTCTGTCCTGTGCGGCACGCCAGCCAGTCCCTCTTCAACAGCCAACATTCAGTTCATTATATAAGCCTGTCCTGTGCGGCACGTCAGCCAGTCCCTCTTCAACAGCCAACATTCAGTTCAATATATAAACCTGTCCTGTGCGGCACGCCAGCCAGTTGCCCTGGTCACTTTCTGCCACACTTTTCCAGACTGCGATTAGGTCTGCCCTATTTTGCTCTGTTCACTTGCTCTCTCAGGGTCTTAACCCCTATCTATACATCAGTACAAAGTGGTCTTGCATTCTGAAGGCCGCCGGCTCATATGAGGCTGCCAGTACGAAGCTAACCACTCCAAGGAGAGACAAGGCTATATAGGATAAAACTGCAAGTCAACCCTTTTTGACATTAATAATAATACGAATCAATAAGTCAACCCTTTTTGACATAATATAATAATACGACTGCACGCAGAAATCGAAAACCACTGCATAGGAGCATATACTTTAGGAAAAAATTGTCTAAAGCTTGTGGGAAATAAGATAATTTAAAAAAACCAAGCACTAGTTTTCATCCAACTTCTTGAAAGTCTGATTCAAATTGTCTCTGCCCATGGCATTCTTTACAATTTCACCAGAAGACAGTAGCTGTTTATCAGCTTCTCTTTTCCTTCCATCTTTCACATGCATACATACAATTATAAACCCAGGTAGGCACCCACACATGAAAGGAACTTACAGCATTGTTTGGATCCAACTCCAAAGCCTTCTGGTATGCAACTGTTGCCTTTGTTGGCTCCTTCATAGCAAGTAAAATGGCACCTTTTCTTAGGTACCCTTTGACTGTAACAGAATAGGGAAAAACAATGAATATGAAGTTATCTATTCAAACTATATTGTCGTTTAAACCCTGTGCCTATCTTCATGCTGGTCGACCCCTGACCCCGTTTTCTGGAAACATGTCTTTTGCTGCTATTCTTTCCAATCTGCTTTGGCATTTGATATGGTCAAAATATTTCAGCTTCTAAGACAAGAAGCTGTTCACCAGCCAGTGTTTCTTGATGTTTAGATCTTTTATGGCATCACTGCCCTGATTCTTTCTTGGCTCTAGGTATTCTGAAAATCTTTCTACTGCATTTCAGCATGCATTAATCAGACCGGCTAATTCTCCTACACACAATACAGTTCAGTCTCTATTCACTGTTAAGTCTAAACTATGATACTTCTAACTTTTACAGACAGTTGCTAAATTTTTATCACGTTAACTTATAGTTTCTTCTGGTTTACCATTTTAATAAATTTAACTACACATTTTGTATTTTAAACTAGAAATTCTCTGGACACCAAAAAAAAAAAAAAAAACGTGGTTCTGAATAAGTTAGGCCAAAATGTCAATGGTTCTGCGAAGAATTAGAAAAACCTAAAAGGTATGACCAACAAACAAGAAAACTAATGCACAATGTGGAGACTGGCCTAGCCATTTTTTTTAGTGAACCTAGAGGGGAGGAAAAGATGTAGCACTGGATAGGACCTAACAGTGAAAAAGCCTCATACATATATACACATATGCCATTTACACACACACACAAGTCATTTTCAAGTGGCAGCGACCCTGACTGTTGATATATCTATTTTACCTGAGGGGCCTTACTTTTAACAATGTACTAGACAAGTTAGAGACATGAAAACAGACAGAGAGATTTGAAGTTATAGATAATAAAGACCAGCTTACAAATTTCATTTTTTTTTTGACACAAACGATTATAATCTCTCTCTTCACGACACTTCGCTAAAGTAAATTTTTTGTTTTGTTTAAATGCATGAACAATAATCAAACAACTAAGCCAAGAACAGCACAATTTCACACAATTACACCCCCCCCCCCCCCAAAAAAAAAATGGCCACGCAGTCTGGCTTACCAAAAGTGGGGTCTAATTTTATACATTCCTCGCTATCTTTCAGTGCCAAGGCAAACTCCATGAGCTTTGTGTAGCAGGCGGCACGGTTGCTGTAGAGCTTTGCATCGTCAGGGTTGCGCTTGATAGCTTCTGAATAGTGCTGCACGGCCACCGGGTAGTTACCTGTTGGAAGTTCAAATACAACAATTAAACAGTTTGTAGCGTTAGGATTGTCATCATTCCTGTTAGCATTTTTAAAAGTAAGAAAGGGTTGTAGTGTAAGGATTTATCAGCATACTGCTAGAAATGTCAATAGCAAACAAAGTAGTTTAACGTTTGGGATTCATCAAAAGGCTCTCCTTTAAATAACAGTCGCTAACTGGTAGACAGCGACGGTCGCCTTAGTCTTCTTCTTCACTCCCTTGGCTGTAGTGCAAATACGGAGTATCAGGAGGACCGTAAACTTTATGAATACATACATGTCAATGCTACGGTTGCTAGGGTTAGTGTAAGGCTTACAGTTAGGATTCAGTGTGCATCGAGTAGGCCACCCATACTAACGGTCTCTGTATGTGAAAATACAGTTGTTTTTGTTTGGTGACATGTCCACTCCGTATTTGCACTGGTGCCACGCTGCAGGGACTACGTCGACCGTCGCCTTCTTACTAGCGACCGTTCTGAAAGGATCAAGCCTATTAACTCAAAATGTACCTTAGTTAGCCGTAACTGTAAACAGACATATATGCCTTTGTTGCAGGATCATCAGAATCCCATTTCTCATTGTTCAGTGGCTTTAAACTGACCAAAAGCCCTGTAGGCCGTTTGTCCTCTTTTGGGCCTTGGTTCCATTTCAGGAATTTTACTATGTGCATATTTATTTCACTAATCTGGTATATATGTGTGCAGACTGTTGACTTATCCCCATGTTACTCTAACAGTCAGTGATTTTAACTGTTTTCCTTTTTTTTAAGCCCCCCCCCCCCCCAGAAGAATATTTCACATAAAACTAAGCGTCAAACAACACGCCTTTGGCTTTTAATTTTATTCTTCTTTTGTCAAAATCTGCTTGTGCCGCTAGGCGTCGCAGTCTACCAGATGATCGGCAACCGAGCCAGGGCGCGCTCAGTCGCTTCATATGCTGTGAAAGTCTAAGTGTCCGTGACTCCTTCAATCCATCTTCTTCTTGGTCTTCACCTGCCTCTTGGTGTTTTGATTTTCATGTTGTATGCTCTTGATGCTGGCATTTAAATTTCAAAACTGTGTGACGACTCCTTGAAAATCCCTCCACCCCCACCACCACCTGAGCTGAAAAGCTACAAACTTTTTCTCTAATTTAAGTTCCCCTATGAAGTTCTGGAGTCCATAGGGGGAAAAAAACTAATTAGACTAATATCAGGCATGCTCAATGTCTGCCCTACCTAGCAGCAATGCTTTGTATACAAACCAAACCAGCAACTGAGAAAAAGCAATGTCTGAACCAAGCATATGTTGACTTCTTTAGCCATTCTCCTGCCTGAGGTGACAATCATCCCAACACTGTTCTTGTTGATATAGTATCTGGTTGTCTACCTATTATCAATACCACTACCTTTTCAACACTTATCCAGACCTCATAAACTACCCAAACCACTTACTCAAGTAGTGAAACCTTCTCCGTGCCTTCAGATTATTGGGCATACAGGGTCAGACTTAAATTTTAACGACCAATCAGCATTTGGTGGCCTTTACTTCCCAGAACCGTACCCAGTACCCACTCAAACCTGGGCCGACTTGAGAGCACAGGTCACCCCCTCCCACCCCAAAGTCTCGCCGCTATACTATGGTGGCCAAAATAACTTACCCTCTTTGAATGCGGCGTTTCCTTTCTCTTTCTCCTGCAAAGACAACTCAGGGTTGACATATGCTAACCTATCCCTCTCCTTGATCTTTTGCTGAACCTGTTCAACAAACAATTTGTTTTTTTCACCAACAAATGAGAAGTGCTTGATAAATCAACTAAAAATAAAAAAAAAGGGCTAATTATTTAACAATATGGAACATTCATCTTTATATTGCAGAAGTATATACATTATGCCCACCAACAACCATGCTGAACTATGACACAGAATATGTTTCTACCATGCACCCACAAACTATGCTAATCTTCTGTAACCAACAAAGCTGCCTAAATCACACAACTTTTGCTGTGTAGGCAGGGGAGCTCTTTGAGCCTGGATCTACGGCCGCATGGCTAGTGCTGTCACCACGACTGTGCAGGTGAAGCTTTTATTTTGCCTCCCACAGAAAACAATCTCTAGCCTTACAGAGGATTCAAACCCAGGTCTCCCACCTGAGAGCCAAGCGTTTTAACCGTTCGACCAGCCGCTCTCTTCTGTGACACACCATTTTCTATCATACCCCCATAAACTACACTTATCCTGACATTTGACACGACTGACGCTGAATGTGCTGGACCACAAGATGCACACCAGCTGCTCCATACCAACTAACTTTTAAGAACAAACACAGAATGTATATTCCCAAACTCTTCGAGTCCCATGGGGTTTAGCATCAGAGGCCCAGGGGTAGTAAAGAAAGTAATAAAACAGAGACAAAACCATGAACGTATGCTGGGACTCAAAAAGTTAACAGAAACAGAGACAAAATATGCTGACCTCCTGAACTTTCTTGACAATATCTGGCGCCCTGTGCTCCGATAAACTCTTGTTGTAGTACAACAGTGCTTGGTCAAGCTCGTTCTTCTTCAAATATGCGTTTGCTATCCTGGCCATAGCTCTGTGCACAGGGAATAAAACAGAAGACATTTACTGCAGTTGCTTGTGTGCCTAGGAAAGCCACAACACCGAAAATATACATAACAACAGATATAAAGTATCAAACTCTGCTTCCTGTTCACTGGCTATAAACTCCAGTGTTCAAAGGTTGTGGTTATTTGTCTACTTCTGGACGAGTCTTATTCCAGAATCCGTTTTATAGAACTGACCTAATAATGTTTGTTGCCTCTCAGGCAGACTCACTATTACTTCGAAAGAAGCCACTGTGTTAGCCGACTCCCATGACATGATGGTTGGGAAGGCAATGAGTCTATTCTTATTTTCCCGCATAATCAGGCCATGGAATCCGTGAAACTAGAATCTCAATTTCACGCGCAAATGAAAAAAAACGGCTTTACCCGAAAATACACCCCAGCATGATTTGCTCAAAATATAAGCCTTTAAATTGTTCAGTGAAAGACATCACGCATCTAATAATTTTTTTAAATATAAAAATAAATAAATGATATTAAATTTTGAATAAGCGCAGATTGTCTGATAATATCTGATTATGACAGTTTCATACAATGGATAGTTATGTCACATTGTGATGTACATCCACAGATTTATAAGACAAAAAGACAGCTGAGCTAAGAATACCTACTTTGCGATTGACTGGAAGTCGGCCCTGTTCTCCCTGCCTATATCCACAGCCTGCTCGCATGTCTTAATACACTCATCGAGGTTGCCTTGCTCGTAATAGACAGCTGTAAACATACAAAACGGCTAACATCACCACAGGAACACACATGCTTTACATGACACTTCTTCTGCACGCCTCCTTAAAAGGATGGCAGGTGCATTGTGTTGTCGTACAGGAAGGCTGGTAAAATTAACAGTCTCCCCATTCACAGAGCGCTACACACCACCTCACTTCTGATTGGTCGACCTTGAGCCATGTGAATTGGCACAAGGACAAAGAGTTTTTCAAAATGCAGTTGATTTTGTGTGCAAAATATTTCAGCATGCCATCGCTTTAAACACTACAAAAACATGGACAAACTGGGTCTAACACACAACCCCCCACCTGGCTAGGACTCACGAACAGCAGCTACCGCATCTTCTGCAACTTCCTCCAATTTATTTGCTCGTGAGCCCCAGTCATCTATTTTACACCCCCCCCCCCACATCACTGCGGGCGATGCGACAGTCACATAAACAGGTCCGCAATTGACATATCACCGAGACCCTGTTAGAGTATTTGTTTGCCCTCAATAACATTGGCCCGTTATTCTGAGACAATCCTATTTTGGCCGTGATTTGTTTCTCGGCAGTCACTCCTCATTTTACACACGACTGAGGCCCTGTTAGGGTATTTGTTTGGCTGCCATAATATGGGGTGAAGTTCGGAGGAGAGCCTTTTTTTTAAAAACCATGCATGTTTTCCTACACAATTCGGCTCTACTGGCAAATCCTGACGAAGAATAAAAAGCCTTGGATGACTTAGAGTTCTCTCCCTTGGCCGCACTTCCAACAGTGATCGGAAAAGCCAACGAAACAAAGAAGACAATCACGTCGACATCAGGGCTGCCAATGCTTGGTTGTTTCCCCCAGATCTGGGTTTTTTTGACGCTGCAGGACAAATCTGGGTTTTTTTTTGGGTGTGTTTTGTTTGTTGGTTTTTGCCGATTTGTATGCTTTAATGATCGATAAATTTGCGTGGTTAGGGGTAGGGGTTAGGGAGTAGGATTAGGGTTAGCGGTAGCGTTAGATTCGACAATTTTGACGCCGGATTTCCCTATAATCGCGCACAGTCCCATACACACACAAACAATCGAGGGCCTCTGGATGCTGGTCAAACGCACAATTCGCCAACGATTGGGGGCACCAGCCGCACGCTATTGGCGTCATATTTGGCAGAGTTTCAGTGGCGCCACTCCCACAAACATCTGATTGTCTGCCAGTAATTCGAAATCCTACGTCAAAATTTTCACATCTAACCCTAACCCTAACCCAACAACCGCATGATGACTACACAACCATTCACGATGCCTCACGCAACCGTACGCAACCATATGATGACCACGCATCCCTTCACGATGCCTCACGCAACCGTACGCAGCCCTACACGCAACCGTAGGATGATAGGTAAGTGTGTCGTTTGTTTCGTTGTGGCTTTTCCGATCACTGTTTGGAGTGCGGCCAAGGGAGAGAACTCTGACTAAGTCGTCCAAGGCTTTTTATTCTTCGTCCGGATTTGCCAGTAGAGCCCACAATTCTATAAACATGTTAAACTCTTTATATCCCAAGCAACACACCACATGGGACTGGATATTAAGCACGTCTTATCTGTATTTTTATAGTTAGTCATCAGACCACCCTCTGCACATCAAACCATTCAGTCCTGAGATCTCAGGTCCCCTCTTCGGTAAATCCTGCAGCATGTAGCATCTGACGGCTACTGTATTGTGTTGGTTTTTAATTCTTCTTTGGCTTCCTGCATAGTGCTCTCGTCTGGCCACACCTCTTTTAGCATGCTGTTCTTGCAAATATCTTATGTTAACTCTGGCACTCTTGACAACATAGTTTCCTACAAACAGTATATATCTGAACTCTGTGGAACTACTGCATCTATGAGTTTGGTACTGGCATCCGCTATGGCCTGGGATTAGAAGGTTAGGAAGATTAGGAGAGGGTGAATCATATTAAGTGGGTTGCTAGGAACTGTAAGGGATGGGATGTCTCCGAAAAACCACCAACGATGGTGCTACAGTAAGAGTGAAAAGAATGATGGCAGAAAGGACCTACTAACTGCTTTGTTAATGTTATAAGGTTCTTAAAAGTGAATCATTTGAGCTTCTGCCTTAAACTATGACGACTGTGTTAATTTCAAGGACCACGTCAACTCAAGACTGAGAAAAGTATAACTAACTGGGAAAAAAAATGAATCCGTGAATCACAAGTTAACAGCACACTAATATTTTAAGTTCATCAATTAACACGTCCTCACTCCAACAGTTGATAAAGAAACACACATTTCTTACCGGCTTTGTTGGTCAGGACAGTTATATTAGTGGGGTCTAGCTGAAAGGCTGCATCGTAGTGTTTCAGTGCTGCCTCAAAATCCCTCTTTTTGTAGGCTTCATTGCCCTTTTCTTTCTCCTGAAGTGCCTGGAAATGATAAATACAATGTATTTCCTCAAATATCTTATATACTGTTTAAAAAGAACCATATATTAGATTTCATGTGTTTAGAGCAATAAATTATAACTTCTAGTTAAATATATCCTACAATGTTGATGATGATAATTCTTATTTTTCATCTGTAATCCCCCCCCCCCCCCCCCCAACCGCCGTGTCGGTTCCAGGGCCCCATTGTAGGGGAAAACAAGAATAGACCCACTGCCTCCCCAAAAGCATGTTGTAAGAGTCGACTGATTTGGGAGCTTCCTTTGAAGTAGGAGTGCATCTGCCAGAGAGGCAAGGAACCAACAGTCTGTATTTAAGAGAATGAGATCTGTAAAACTGATGCACACGCAACACTCAGGTTCTAGAGCAGGACTACAGTTCAGTAGTGGACGAGCAACCAGAACTTTCCGCCAGTGTACAGCTGGTGAACGCGAAGAAGAAGACGAAGACTTCTGGCTTTTGCTGTTTCAGTAATCTGGTAATTTTAATTTTAGCTTTATAGCAAACGGTGCAAACGGGTCACCCCATCTTTGCTCCGCTCTTGTACCAACGAAAAAACAATGTTTATCACAGTCCCTTGTGGAAAGACAAACTACTGTGTCAGCAAATCTAGCATACACTCGCATACTGCTGTTTCAGTACATAAGTGTTGTGTTCACATCCTTCTAGCAGATCAGATCTGACTCATCTGTGTATAATAGTTTATTACATTTTACAAATTGTGTTTCCCTATCTCCATCTGTAGAGTGTACATGCATACTATTAATACTAACAACTACAACTGGGCTATTATTTCAAACAAAACACCAAAAAATACACATTTAAAATGGAATATTTTGTGTAGCAGACCCTCGGTAGAATGATCTGATCAGCTATGAATGTGAATGTATAATATATTTTTGACCATTCACCTTCACAATGAATGATTGAATGTGTGGTGTGTACACCCGTCCGTTGTTATTGAAATTAATCTGCCCACGTTACGAACTGAAATTATAAATTTCAAGCATGTCGTTGTTTTCGGCGACAGTAACGGCGAACTTCATTAAACAGCAGTTTTCCAAAAATCAATCTGGCTTTAAATTATTAATTAATTATCATCACCATATTAAATAATTTACTGACTGTCAATATTTTGGCGATGATGGTGGGCTGCCACCCCGTCAGGCGGAGACGCTCGATTATATACAATAACAACAACTCTTTACCTCTTCTACATATGTACGCATGGTAACCATATATATTTATCAGTTAAAGGCTCAAGAAAATAAATAAATAAATGCAATAAGACGACACTTATATACACAAAACACTTACTTTAGATTTGGTATCCGCCATCATGAAGAAATTTCTGGTTCTACACGAGTTCTAGAAGTTTTGTCCCTTCAATGCGGCCAGCTGACAACACCATCTACAGTCTAGACATATCACCAAAGGACAGATAATGATCCGTCGCTTGTATTGTTACATTCGTTTCTTAACAAAAACATCACATATATTTATGTTTTAATAATATTGTATCATTTGTTTAATAAAATATTTATTTAGGACAACTGAATTATTAAATCAATAAACGATATATCAATGCCAATGTGGCACATTTAGTGTAGGTGTACAACGCATGCGCGGCTCTAGTACAGCCTGGAAGGTTGAAGATCTTTCTTGCGTTTCTGAAAAAGAATTGCGTAGAAACAAACATCATTTTTTTTTTCTTCTTTTTCTTCTTCCTATTTTTGTTCTTTATCGCGTTCACCGGCTGTAAACACCACTGGAAAGTTCTGTTTTATTCGTCCACTTCTGCGCTTTAGTCTTCTTCCAGATTTTTAGTTTTGCGTGCACATCCGTGTGATAGATCTGACTTATTTGTATGCAGTCTGTTAGTTGCTCGCGTTTCAGGCAGACGAACTCCGTCGTCGAAGAAAACACCCTTAATAATTAGTCGCCTTTTGCGACATGTTTGTTATGTGACAGTGGGTTTGTTTGTTCTTCCACTAGAAATAAACATGCGGCCCCGGAACCAACAATCTAAATTCAGTCCAGCACATTTTGTTATTATTCCACCGATTATTGATTTACGATCCATCCAGATGGGACACTAGGGGCCGAGTAGATTTTTTTTAAAAATAATGTTTAACGGGGTTCTTGGGATTTGCTCATGTTGTTTTCGCATTCTAATAATGGCTCTTTAAGTCACTTTTTGTCATTCTGGTTCTTTTCTGTTATCTCACCACATCATGACGGCTTCGAGATTTGATAGGTGAAATACCCAGACCGCGCTATAATATAAGGGGCTAAGGGTTGGGCTTAGTAGTAGTCGCTATTCATTTAACACTAGCCCTAACCCTAACACCCCTATACTATGGAACGGTCAGGGGATTTCCTTACCAAATCTCTAAGCCGTCATAATGGGGTAAAATAACAAAAAAAAAAGAACAGGATATCGTTTTGATGTGTCTTGACTCAACTCAACTCATCCTAGGAATGCCATGGAATGCTAAAAAGAGCAATCCAGATGTTGTTCAAGAGGCGAGCGCTCAAAGACAACTTAATCACAAACATTAGAAAGAGACAGTCATCAGTTTTTGATTATGTTGAGAAAACGGAAATTGAAAAATATTGTGACCACTGGAATGATCTGTGGAAAGAGAGACAGAGGACAGCGCCAGAACATTCTTAATAGCCTTTTGTCATGGCATTTAGTGGTGTCATGTCACGATGTCATTGCGTCATCTTGTCATCGTCATGTGTTATTGTGTCATAATGTCATTGTGTCATGGTGTCGTGGTGTCATGGTCATTGTCATAGTGTCATCGCGTCAACACGCTAACTGATATATGGAGATTGTGGATTCACTTCTGATCAAAAATGGAGAACTAGGCATGACATAATGTTAAGCTTCGAAGTTGTTTTTGCTTCCGACAGCGCTTTGCTAATGCCGTTTCCTCATATGGATGGAAGTCTACGGTTTCGCTGCCTGAGCTACTGTGTTTAGTGCTTGATGCAGCCATATGAGGCGTGTTTTTCATGTGGAATGCCTTTTAATTGTACAGCGGTTGTGTCATGGTATTGAATGTGGCTGGTAGCTGGTAACATATGGGCTGGTGAAATACCTTATACAATAATGTTACGTGTGTAGCCAAGTTGGAAGTACTTATTGCAACCGAGTACTTTCATCAACGACAAACTGCATTTCCAATAGCGACTGTTGGCTTTGGCGCCTCTGGCAACTGCTATATGCATTTACTGAGTGCGTTCATTTCTGGACTGTACCCGGGACAATTGTTTGTTCGAAAGTTTTTCAAAGGGACAGTGAGGGACATCTAATTTGATTTTCACTGACACAGGAACGGAACAAATATGGAAAGACCCGATTGCAGTGTACTGAAACCTCGACTACGATTGTGGCTAGGCATGATCGCCCACGCCAGTTAACAAGGCACTTGATGATGATGATGGAATGACAGTAAGCCGTTGCAGCCCATCAAGCACAGATTGCAAACTGTTCCTCCCCACGTCGCTTACCGGCATCAGTGGAAACATGATGGTAATGACTAATTACAATCTCAGAGGTGAATGGGGGCAGGCGACAAACGTTCATAATTTTGAAAAAGTCGACATTTCATTTCCTGACACTTCTATCTTCCTTCAAACATCCATTAACTGATGCCTGCTCGGAACAGAGAAAATTGCATAGTACGATAGAATCACTAATTTAGAGCTTTGGGAGAGAACTAAACAAGTTCCAGTGAACCAAGAGATGAAGAAAAGACGATGGCATCGGATAGGACACGTTGAGAAAACACAAGAACAATACAACTAGAATGTCTTTGCACTGGAACCTACAGAGATGTAGAAATGAAGGAAGAGCAAAGCTCGCATGGAGAAGGGAGCCAGAGAGCGATGTTAGAAATCTGGTGAGGATATGTGGAGAACTGCATGCGATAGCAAAGGATAAAGCGACTTGGCGTGAGCTGGTGGAGAGCTTGTGCTTCAGTCTTCTTCTTCTTCTCTTCCACCTTGTACCTCCTCGAAGTGTCGGGGGGAGATGTAATGTTCGTTGATGAGCTCTGTCAAGAGCACTATTAAGACTGATGTTCATTTCTGTAAGGCTGTTCTTAATGCCATCACTCCATATTTTCCGAGGTCTTCCACTCGCTCTATACCAGTTGTCACGTTTTAGTGTAGCTTGCTGTGGCGGATAGTACCAGGGCATTCTTGTTAGGTGTCCAAACCACTTCATTTGTTGTTCTTTGATGACCTGTAAGACTGGCTTTATTCCTAGCATTCGTCTGATTTCATATTCTGTCTTTCCTTGAAACTCCTACAGCTCTTCTAAGGCATTTCATCTCTGTTGACACAATTTTACGTTCATTGGAGCATGAGAGTGTCCACGTTTGGCATTCATAGCACATTGTTGGCCAAAAAAATTGTTCTGATAAGATTCACTTTAGTACTCCGAGGTATCTGCTTGTGTGTCAACAGGGGAGATAGTTGACCCATTACTTGATTACCTTTGGCACATCTTGAGCTTCATTGGGGGTTAGAAAGGTAGAAGAAGAAGAAGAATATCTTCCTTAGATTATTGTTGTTTCCAAACCACAATGGCTTTTAAAGATAGCTTGAGGGATAGAAAGATTCACTTCTATTCGCCAGGTTTTATCTGAAAAGGGTATGTCTTTCGTCGCAAAGTGGCTGATCGCCCACCGACAGCGTTGCACAAAGCACGAATCCGTAGCTCTAGAAACGAACCTCAGGGATTTCTGAATTCATATGAACTCGCAGGCATACAGAATCTCAGACTATGATAATGATGATGAAGATGGAAATCCAGCACAGACAATAATCAACACTGATTTACTGGTTTAGGAATCGACATCATTGCACACCTGATATACTGATGGATGCTCCGTCTCCTGCAGCAAATGTCTTAAGGTTTAGAAACAAACTGTTTCCGTAGCACACTGATTATCTTCTTCATCTTCCTCGAGCTCACCAGCTGCAAACTCTGGCGGAAAGTTCTGGTTGTTCATTCGCTTCTGGACTGAAGTCCTCTTCCAGAACCTGAGTGTTGCGTGTGCATCCGTTTTACAGATCTGACTCTTTTGTTTGCAGACTGCTGGTTCCTTGCCTCTCATGCAGATGTACTCCGACTTCGAAGGAAGCTCCCGATTAGTCGACTCTTACGACATGCTTTTGGGTAGGCAGTGGGTCTGTTCTTGCTTTCCCTATAATAGGGCACCGGAAGCCACGCAGGGATACTGATTATAAACTCGACGTTCTCTTCAACTCAGACGTCCCTCAATGCCTAATCCACCCCTAGCTCCTCGTTCATACATTCTTACACATGCTATTTTATCTAATTTCGTGTTTTCTATGGGCATTCGTTTATAAATGGTCTTCAGAATGTCTCATTTGTCTAGTAGGAGTGCTCCTGTATCTATCGCCCTTGTAGCCAGAAAATCCACTCTTTCTTTTCCTCGCATTCCTGCAAATCCCGGACAGTATATCCACGTGAGGTCAGGTAGTGTTGACGCGCTGTTGCTTGGCACTGCACCACTTGGTGGTGAATTGATGTGTGACAAGTTAGATACTGTAAGGTCCCTTTGGCAGCGAGTGAACAGGGCGGGGGCGCAGATAAATCACTACGGTCTAAGAAGAAACGCGCTGCGAGGAGTTACCTGGGGATCTGGCCGACGCTCAACACTCAGGGGAAAGGATCAGACGGTTATACAATCAGACGGTTTCTGGTACCATCAGAACTGGAACTCTTCGCTTACTGCTAAAGATGATGACTGGGCACTTATGGGAGTGTCCTGAGTGCTGTGATGTCGAATCTTAATTTAACATTCAACATTGAATGGCATCTATTTTTCCACATGTTTCCTTTTTGAACCTTCCGCAGTGCTGGCTGAGAATCAGTCACTATAATTCCTTTGGTTACTCTATTGTCTGCTAACATCTTCAGAGCTGCAGTGACTGCCGCCACCTCCATTCTCAAGCTTGAAGGTGTTGATTAGAAAGTACCATTTTGTTCTGCTAGGATCTTTCCCTTCATTGGAGCTGCAAATTCCCTGCAGGATCTTTCACTCCGATAAACAACCATCGGGGAACACTACAGCATCATTTAGCCTAGCGTTTGTATTTATCACGTGTTGAACCTTTAATTCTGCCATACATTTCTCTCTCTCTCTCTCTCTCTCTCTCTCTCTCTCTCTCTCTCTCTCTCTCTCTCTCTCTCTCTCTCTCTCTCTCTCTCTCTCTCTCTCTCTCTCTCTCTCTCTCTCTCTCTCTCTCTCTCTCTCTACATAGTCAACACTACAAAGTTACAGAATAATAGCTGAAAACTTACAAATTAACATATATTTAATTCCAAATGAAAGGCATTTGCCTTTTCCTAATTAATAAAACGAATACAAATATCTTGTACCTAATATGATTACAAATCAGTCACGTACATATGGCAGTCATGTTATAAAAAAAAACTACCACGCAATTATTCTAAATAGGTGGGACTTAACGTTACCGTATTTGTCACATTAGAAAACCTATTTTGTTAGCTATTGGCTCTCATACTAGTCTGCTTGCGCATATTATAAACAATTATTCTAATAAATATGTTTTGTATATCTGCTGTGCGCGCTTGCCTATGTTTGTGGTTAGCCCACCAAATTAACTTGCAGGGGATGAGGGGATCGTGGGAATACAAATCAGTCCTGCATTTCCACTGTTAGTTGTCACATTAGTCAGTTTGTGAATCGTGGGAATAAATTTCAATCTTATGTTTCCACTTGTCACACTCACTAGTCCATTTGCGGATTGTGTTGGAATAAGAACTCAGCCTGAAAAAAAAAATTGCAACAATTGTGTTAATGTACTTACTTTACTTCTTCTATAAGTAAAAGTGACGAAAAATAACAAACTGGCTTTTTTTTGGCCTGCGTGCCCAATTTGTGACCCTTGAGAATAGAGTTCGTTCGTTGGTTCGCTCTCACCCTTATCTTCTTTAGCTTGCTCTTGCTCCCCTTCAATACCTTTTCCTGCTTCTTCTCAGTGTAACTGGCCACCAGTCGTGTGTGTGTGTTTGAATGTGCTTGTTTACCACTCCAGCCCCCGTCCTTTCCTTTCCAACCTCTCTATCTCAACTATTCCTCCAGGAAATCTTCTTCTTTTTTGTTTACCAGTTGTAAGCTCCGGTGGAAAGTCCTGGTTGTTCGTCCAATTGGAATTAGGCTTTATGCCAGGGTCTGAGTTTTGCATGTACATCTGTTTTACAGGCTCATTTGTGTGCAGTCGGTTTTTCCTTGCCGCTCGGACAGATGCACTCCGACTTCGAAGAAAGTCCCTAATTAGTAGACTCCTACGACATGTTTGTTGTGTATTTTTTCCCCACACAATGGGATCTAAAAACCGACACGGGGACATGCAGTGTATATAAAATACAGTTTCTAGGTACAATAATAAGAACTCTACAGGGGAGCATGCACAGCTGGGGTCCACCGATCATCAGTAGAAAGATCCCTCGTCGACGATTGTTTCGGCCTATTACTTCCTAGACAATCTCGATAGGTGGGGCGACCTGGGTAATGATTCCAGGCCACGATCTCTCTCTTTCTCTGCTGCACTTTATCGGACTTTCGAGACTATATGGTGATTTTGTAACAGGTTTTGTGAGATTTTGTGTTATATTTGTCGCTGAGGTACCGCCTTCATTTACAACCAGAATGACAAGCTTACGGTCAGTTCATGGGACAGGTGTTAGACTTTGGCATTGGGCAAGATATTCATCTGACTTTTTGGCTTCATACGGATGAACAGTTCCTTTCCACTAGGAGCTCGGACCAGTCTACCGAGGCCCATCCCCCATGACATTCCGTTGTGTCTAAAGCCAGCTCGAAGCCCTTTCGGCTGCTTCTCCCAGTTGTTTTAGTGACAGCCTACGCTCTGTTCTCGCGAGGCCAGCTGCTTTAACACATTTTATTTGGAAGTCCTTTTGTATCTACTTCGACAGCGAAGATTTTTACTAGGTACTCTTCGTTTCTCATCAGACCAGACACGAGTTCACCGTACTTTTCGAGCTTGTACAGGTGATTTTCTTCCATCCGCGACTCCTATGACACGGTCATCTCTATCAGGATGAGATGGCCTTTTTCCCGCTGAGTGCAGAACAATGCTGGTCTCAGGTCTTTCGGACTGACTATCGGTACCTTTTGAAACCAGGCAGGTCGACAGTCAGTATAGCGTGCTAACTGCTTTTCCCCCTCTCATTCCTTCTCTTTCTGCCTGGCCTTCCTTCCTTCTCCTTATGGTAACAGGTCTCCATTTTTGACCGTATACGCTTTTATTAAGTTAATTTTTGTTTGTTTGTGTGTTGGTTGGCTTGTCTAAAACCATTTTTATATTCGATTTTCCTGTCCTACTCACCAGAACCTCTTCTGTCTCTCCTCTTCTCATCATTCTATGAACTACTAGCTGTACCCGGCCACGCGTTGCTGTGGCCCAGAATGGTGAAATGGAGAGGGAAAAAAAAAGCTCTCAGCTAACAGTGTCCGTCATATCCTTCACCCCTCCTTTTCCCTCGACCCAGTCATATCTACCTCTCCAAAGGTTTGAAAAACCATCCATGGTGAAATTATTAAAATAGAAATAGTTAAGAAATGAGAACTTTAAAATAATATTTTAAGCTCTCTCAGCTTTAATGTGTCTGGCATACCCCCACCCCCCTTTTATACCAATCATTACCCCCCCCCCCCCTTTCACCAATAATATATCCCTTTCCGTAAAACTGAAAAATCATCACTAGGCGAAATTATTAAAATAGAAATAGTTAAGAAATGAGAACATGTAAATAATATTTTTAGCTCTCTCAGCTAACGGTGTCTGGCATAACCCCCCCCCCCCCCCGCCCCACTTCCCGGTCCCCTACTCACATCTCCCTCTCCCAAAGATTGAAAAATCATCACCTGGCGAAGTCATATCTCCCTCTCCGAAGGACTGAAAAATAATCCATGGCGAAATTATTGAAATAGAAAAAGTTAAGAAATGAGAACCTCAAAATAATATTTTGAGCTCTCTCAGCTAACTGTCTGGCATCACCCCCCCCCCCCCCCCCCCCTTAAATCATATCATCTTCTCCGAAAGATGGGAAAGTCACCGTGTAACGAAATATTGTCACTAAATTGAGCTCGGCATCCGTGTCCACCCAGACTTAAATAGGTAGCATTAACTTGTACAGAGAAGTAAATGTAGTGTAACAGCTACCACATCACCCATCCAGTACCAGTACTACTGCAACCACAACCACAACCACAACCACCACCACCATCACAACAACAACAACAACAACAAACTGTCATTATAGTCTGTGTAGATCGGTGTAGAAAATAGGAATTAGCGCCGCATGCTGTCGCCAAGGAATATTTAGTTTGATTTTGCCCCGGACACAGGAAAAAAAAACCTTCATCACGTAACCAGTGATGGAACCCACAGTAAAAAGTACAATATACTTACGAATAGGGGAGAAAAATACCCCGCACCCGTCATCTCTCCCTCTCTGATGGAACGATTTTTAACTGACCTTGGCTTCCGTGTCCGCCACAACTAAACTGGACTGTAAGCCGTCTTAGTTAACAGTTTCTGTCATCGCCGAATATTTTTTGATCGAGAAGCGTCGCAGGGAGGCTAATTAGGACTTAACTGAAATCGGATGTCTGTGGGCGAAAGGCGCAAATATCGCAGCCTAGCTGTAAACCACAACGTAACGTGGCAACCACCCTTTTAGGGAAAAAATCATGGTTTATGCGATTTTCTGACAAAAAAATCACGCTTTGAGTTAAAGGCAACGTTGTGTGCAAATTTGAAAGCAATCGGTTCAGTAGTTTCCGAGTTTTTAGCTTACATCATCGGAAAATTAACATTTTTATTAATATAGATTACTGCTATGTGCATGCAATGTACTGAAGGCAAAAGTTGCCTAGGAAAAACCAATCCAGGCAAAAAATGCTGGGGTTGGTTTTGCAAAGTCCTGTAGGGATACGCAATTAACTAACTAACATACACCTTAATTTCTAGGTGACATATTAGAAGCTTAGAAGAACTGAATGGGTAACTGGAAGAGCAATGGTCACTATTTTAAATAAATTTCGTTCGTACATTCTCTCTAGCCACTTCCCCCTTCACACCCCGCTCCCCATTTCTTTAAACACACTGTTGCTTACGGTAGAATATTTATAAGCCAAAAAGAACCAAATTTACCAAGAAATCAATGGGATCGTCAGGTCGGACCTTGCAGCATTCGATCAATCCCTGGGTGAGTGTGGGCATCACGTACACCATGAGATAGTTCCTTAGAGGGATGGACTGCACCTCCAGCAACTCAAACTCCTGCTTCTTAACTTCCTGCAGCCTCTGTGACTGAAAGCACATAGAACATCGACGTGGTGTTCATCCAAGCTCCCTGACTGTTCCAATGGATTTAAAGAGGGAAATATTGATGCATGCCTTAATGCTTCTTCTTCCTCTTCTTCGCGTTCACCAGCTGTAAACTCTGGCGGACAGTTCTGGTAGTTCGTCCACTTCTGGACTGCAGTCCTGTTCCAGAACCTGAGTGTTGCCTAAGCATCTGTTTGACAGATCTGACACATTTGTGTGCAGACTTCTGGTTCTTTGCCTCTCATGCAGATGCATTCCGACTTCGAAGGAAGCTCCCAATTAGCCGACTCTTACGACATGCTTTTGGGTAGGCAGTGGATCTATTCTTGCTTTCCCTATAATAGGGCCCAGGAACCCACAGGTGGGGTATTAATTGTGACCAACATCGATACATAAAGAGATCCTGCACAGAACCATCATCGCAGAAGGCTCAACCATGGGCCCAATAAACATCCAAGTGGTGACAACGAACCTCCAGACACTGAGATCAATGATTTCTGCCCTATGCGCCACCCTAGGCTCACGAGGAAAAGACTAACTAACAACTACACAGCTGGACAGAGGTGCGAAAGGCTGACAGCTTTCCTAACAATTCACAAGAGGGGGAGAAACAAGAATCGACCGACTTGATCCGACTTGATTCCTAAAAGGTATGTTGTAGGAGTCGACGAACTGGAGACATCCTTCGAAGTCGTAAATATGCTTGAGAGGTAAACAACCAATCGTCTGTCTACAAACAAGCCAGATGTGTGAAACGGATGTGCACGCAATACTCAGGTTCTGGGACAAAACTAAAGTCAGGAGGTGGATGAACACAAAGAGCTTTCCGTCGGAGTTTACAGCCGGTGAACGGAGGAAGCAGAAACAAAAGAAGGACTAGGGAGAAAAGGGTTTTATAGAGGCAGAATGCTGAATGTTACATAAGGAATCGACATTACAGCACTCTGGACTCCTCCATAAGCGATCCGTCCCCATCTTCAGCAGCAAACAAAGAGTTCCAGTTTATGACTTGTGTGGTGAGCGTCGGCCAGATCCCCTGGTACCTCCCCCGCAGCACCATTCTCCTCAGATCGTAATAATTTATCCATTTGTGCTTCCACACAGTTCACTCGCTCCCAAAGGGCCCTCACACAGTCTAGCTTGTCACACATCAGTTCAGAAACGAGCAGACAGATAGACTGGCCGTTTCTGAACGACTGGATCAAGAAATCAACACCAGGAGAGGAACGCAGCAACAGCAATGAGCAGATTAACATAAGCAAATTTTTGGAGAACAAAATATCTCACGATTAAGACAAAAACACTTGTCTACCAGGCTTGTGTTCTTAGTAATCTTCTTTATGGCAGTGAGTTGAGTTGAGATAAGATTTGACATCACAGCACTTGGGGAATTCCCATACGCACTCCGTCCCGATCCTCAGCAGCTAACGCAGAGTTCTAATACTAGTGGTGCCAGCAGTGAAATATGGCCAACTTATTCGCACCAGGAGAAACGGCTAAAAAGCTTTCCGTGCGATGCCTAAGAAGGATACTTCACATTACGTGGCAGGACAAGAGCCCAAACACTGAGGTATTAGGTATCACAACAGTTTTTCTCAGTGCTCAGTTTACGGAGGTTCAGGTGGCTTGATCATGACTAGAGAATACAGGATGGTAGAGTCCCTAAGGACATCATCTATGCTGAAATACAGATGGGTAGAAGATGTCGATGCCGACCTTTACTAAGATATAAAGATGCGCACAAGCGTGACATGAAGGAATACCGGAATTGATGTAGATTGATGTGAAAAAAATGCCATGGGCTGTTTTGGGTGGAGGTGGAAAATCAGGGTGGAAATGAGAATGGAGGAAGAAATTATCGCAGAAAGGATGACAACTGAAGGTCCAAGAAGAAACAAGCTAAAAACAAATCATGGCAAGAAAGGTCCTGCAAGCCGATGCTCTAATCGTGAAAGACTTTTCTAAACCCTGGCGAGTCTTGCTGATGCAAATGCCCCTTTTCTTGACGGGCATCCAAAGGTTCCATCGCTCATCATTTGAGCTGAGTGCTAGGCGCGACACTGTGAGCTGTGGGTGTCAAGTGGAATTAGTTTTCTTTCTATTTTGTACTTTGTGCGAGCTTCAAGACAGTGCTGGGACTCGTAGGTTTTTCCATTATTTTTTAGATCTCCAAATGGAAGACATTTTATATGATTTCATTGGGACAGTGGAAGACATTTTATAAGATTTCATTTGGACAGTGGAAGACATTTTATAAGACTTCATTGGGACAGTGGAGACATTTTATAAGACTTCCATTGGCACAGGAAAGGAGCAGTTAAGTGACAACCCGTCTGCAGTGAAATTGGAACCTCAACTAATGACTAACGACTGACGACTTACGACTAACGACTAACGACTAATGACTGACTACTAACGACTAGCGACAGATGACTAACGACTAGCGACTGACGACTTACGACTAACGACTAATGACTAACAACTACTGACTGATGACTAAAGACTAACGAATAGCGACTAACGACTGCCAACTAACCACTGATTACTAACGACTAGCGACAGATGAATAACGACTAGCGACTGACGACTAATGACTGAGGAATAACGACAGACGACTAATGACTAACGATTTACGTGTAACGGCTGACGACTGACAACTATCGACTGACAAATAACGAATAACGACTGACTACTTTACTTACCCATTCTTCCAGCCGTCGCTTTTTCTCTTGCTGTTCTTCCGCCTCGTGTCTCTCCATATGTCTTCGTTCTCTGCGTTCTTTTTTCATCCTTCCCTGCTCTTCCAACTTTTTCATCTGCTCCAGCTCTTCGACAGTTGTCCCTGACAATAATAATTTTTTTTTTTAAAAGCTAATTAAAAATTACTCTAATATGTGGCGAGGCGGTAAGTATCCGAGTATCTATAATTCAGCTGTTCTCAAACAGTAGTCCGCGTGGTTTTTTGAACAAATGGAAGGATCCGTGATATCATAAAAGAAAAGGGAACAGAAAAAAAAGAGAAAAATACAAACCTACTTATGTGCGTTCTAAGGCCAAATTGTGAGCGGCCAAAAAAAATATAGATCTAATAGATCCACTGTTCCAGACAAGCATGTTGTAAGAGTAGACTAATTATGTATGTTTCCATTGAAGTCGAAGTGCATCTGCCTCAGAGACGAGGTGTCAACAGTCTGCATACAAATAAGCCTGATATTTTAAAACGAATGTAGTTAAAACTCAGGTTCTGGAACAATATTTAAGTGTATGAACAGTGTACGACAGTCATCATTTTTCGACCATGTTACGAGAAAAATAAAAATAAAACATGTAGTGACCACTGGAAAGATTTGTGGAAGGAGGGATAGAGGAAGACAACGAGAAAAGATTCTTGACAGTCTTGTTGCATGGCATGGAGGTGTGTCGGCACACGAACTGACACATGCTGCAGGAGATCGTGGATTATGAAGAGGCACGATCGACCACGCCAGTCGGCAAGACACCTGATGATGTTGGTGATGATGAACAACAAAAACTTGACATCAGAGTTTACAGACGGTGAACGCGAAAGGAAAAAACCCTCAACTTTGAAATGCAGTTTGTATGTGTGTGTGTGTGATTTTATTACATTGGCACCTCGGTAAACGTCCACTTTCTAATGAGTATAACTTGGTAGATGACCTTTGTTGGAATACGACTCACGTTCTTTAGCTTGTGAGCCTCAAGCAGGCTAAGTAGGGAAAAGAGAGGACAAGCCAAACAAAACCCCTAGTTTTCCTAATTCTACAATACGGCTTCTGAAATGGCCATCCGTAATGCCCGCACCTCCTTACCACTGATTCTAAATCTCATAGATCCTCCGCTCCGCCTGCTCCACCACTCACGGACACATAGCTACAACCATTTCCGAGCCTTATCTGACCCTTGACACCGAATCACGTAATCGGAGCCTTGCGCCAGCCACCAGGTGACCTAGATTTCTGATCTAAAAATACCACCACCTCTCGCTCAGGAGGTGGAAATCGTTTTTTTTTCTATTTATTTGGTGGAGGTGGTTTAACAAAGGTTGTATAGCGAGCCGCCTCCTCGTTTACGCTTCGTAAAATCAAGGCACGCGGGAAGAAATCTACGTAACTTACGGAGTGAGCTGTCTGGAACTTTCATATCCGGGTGACGAGGACGATGGTGATGACGAAGACGAGTTTAATGATAGGATGATGGTGGTGGTGACTAACATGATGTGATTTCAAGACGAATTCGGCAAAGGGCACGACTCCGTGTCTGTGTACACGCTGATGGTGGTGGTGGGGCACTTGCAATCTGAAGCAGCCAAATCTGAAGCAGCCAAATGGGGCAAGACGTTTGATTCACCAACGCCGATCAGGCATCATTATGCGTTTTACGCTTGTGGAGCTTCTAAGGAGGAGATCAGCGCACCAGTGGACCTGCCTGAAGTGCTAGGATGATAATCCTTACTAGTCACTAAATATTAGGGTATCATATCTATGACGATGATTTTTTTGATGACGTGTTGATGATTAAGAAAATGATGACGATGATACATTAATTCTGGCATTAATGACAGACCGAGGGATTTTGGAATCTGATAGGAGCGGCCTTCTGCAAATGATTTGTGAATTATAATGGTCTGTTTTTTATGCAGGCCTTCTTTTAGGAAATGAAGGGCATAACATTTACTAAAGGAGAAGATAGAGCAGGAGGCGTTGACGAAGAAGAAGAAAGAAAGTAGGGGTGGGGGTGAGGGTGAGGAAATAAAGAAGAAGAATCACTTAAAAGTGTTAACAGAACTTTCGTTATACATCTAGCAAGATCAAATCCTTGTCCAAAGCTGTGACCATATCACTTTAACCACTGCCTACCCAAAAGCATGTCGTAAGAATCGACTAATTGGGAGCTTCCTTCGAAGTCGGAGTGCATCTGCCTGAGAGACAAGGAACCAGCAGTCTGCACACAAATGAGTCAGATCTGTAAAACGGATGCACACGCAACACTCAGGTTTTGGAACAGGGCTGCTGTCCAGAAGTGGACGAACAACCAGAACTTTCCGCCAGAGTTTACAGCTGGTGACCGCGAAGAAGAAGAAGAAGAAGAAGAGTAGAGAAACAAGATTATTGTGGCCTGGAGAGAATGAGGCACCTGGGTGTAACCAGAGGGTCTGGCCGGCTCACTACACTCAGAGGAAAGGCAAGACGGACATATAACCAGATTGTGACCGGTACCATCAGTATTGGTGCGCTGGCTGCTGAAGGTGAGGACAGAGCATGCATGGGAATGCCCTGGGTGATGTCAATTGTTGACTCAACTCTGCTCAACAACAGAAACAACAATAACAACAAAACCTACCATAATTGCGTGGACTTCCTATGCTCTTCTTGATCTTTTCAACGGTGTCTTTCATCATGGGTGAGCTGTCTTTTGTCACATCTGGCATTGACAAACAAGGTTGTCACTTCACGAGAGAATACAATGACAGTCATGGAATGAAAGTCCTTAACTTTTATACCAGTGGTAATCAGGTTATCTTAGTTTCAACTTCCCAACAAACATGTCAATCCCAGTTTTAGAATGGAGATGGAGGCAGTCACTGCTGCCTTTCAACTGATTGAGAATCATGATGCAACTGTAACCGACTCACAGACTATGTTAGAAAGGTGAAGACAGGCATGATCGGGGCAGAGTGGCAAGCATTGCTTCAGAGGTCCCGGGTAATTAGCCTCCATTGGATATTTTTCTCCGGGTTATGCCGGTGAGGTGGAATACGAACAGGCAGATGGACCGACCAGTTCTTCACCACTTGTTGTGAGGGCCCTTTGGGAGCGAGTGAACAGCGGCGAGGCACAAATAGATCATTACGGTCTGAGGAGAATGGCGCTGCGAGGAGTTACCAGGGGATCTGACTGATGCTCAACACTCAGAGAAAAGGCAACAAAAGATTTTCCCACTGGAAAGCAAACTAAGCGAAGGTTACATCCAGCATTGCAATGTTTTCTGCAGCTGTAGACAGAGGGGGCGTGTTTTCTGTCGATAATAAGAGAGTTGCGCGGTATCAGGTAATACGTAATGGTTCTTCTCATTCTCCAGCATTCGGATCCTTTGAGGCTGGTTCATTGCTGCAGATATCACTCGCTTCCACTCATCTCCGCGACTGGTCAACTCTTTCCATTTGGTGACTTCAAGTGTTTGAAAGTCTGCATGAATATTATCTCCCCATCGTCATCTTGATCTGCCTCGTTGTGTGCACCCTTTTAACTGCTTTAAACAAGCTTTTCTTTCTGCATGACACACGCCCAGTGGTGCCACTTTTCTTTGACAAAAACATCTAAAACGGATTAAAAAAATATCTAAAAACATCTAAATTTGCGTGGAAAATATTTAGAAAAAAAAAAAAACACATCAAAATGGAAAGAGTCACAAATTACATAGCAGTTGATATGACTTATCCTAAAGAATCATGTCCTCATCTTTACTGAAGTCTGCCTCACAAGATCTACAGGATAAACTTAGCTTGGATGATGAAGTTGAAGCTTCAGGTCCAAAATGACTCTGGTATGCTTTAGCTGTTACAATTTATTTTAATACTCAATCAGGGAGCTGATAAGCGGAACAGTCTTTCCCTAATCTTATCAGGTAGAATTTTATTGGCAAGATAGCATTTAAGAGGTCAAATTTCATCCTGTTTCTTAGGATAGATTTGATCTAGAAAACATCTACCATCTAAACGTCAAAAATACCATCTAAATGCAAGGGGAAACATATAAATCTGGATGTAAAAGATCCAAAGTGGCAACACTGCACACGCCCAGTGCATTCAGTTAGCCCTTATGATGCAAACTGATGCAGTATCAATTTCGTTGGGCTGGTCATGTGACACGCAATGCCAGATCACAGGCTCCCAAAAACTCTTCAATTGTGAGCTGCAAAATGGAAAACGTTCCCAAGTCGGGCACAAGAAACGCTTTAAGGACACCTTGAAGTTTTCACTCAAAGCATTTTGGATGAATGCAAGGCGTGCAACTCAGGGCGCAGCTACATGTGCAGCAAACAGAATGCACGACTGATTTTTTAAAAAAAAAGGGAGGGACAGAAGGCAACTGCAGGAGATCAACTTCCTGGCAAAACACTCATTCCCTGTCCTCACTGTCCAAGAACATTTCTGGTCCGCATCAGCCTCATCAGTCATCTTCGTACTCATACTTGATGAAAAAGAGTGGCCATCATCATTTCGATGGTCAACACACACACACATGACGCCAATAATAAGCGGTGTTGAAAAAAAAAAAAGACAAAAAAAAGGATTTTCGATGTCGTATCTCAGTCTTCGCTCTCTGATGTTTGCATTTCAGAAAAGCTCAAAGTTTATCGAAAGATTGTGTTTTCAAAAGTGTGTTATAAGGCTTCCTAGTATATGGTAAGTGTGAATTTGTCGAAGCAAAGAATATATTAAAAAAAGAAAAAAAAAAAAGAAATAGAAGTTATATTAGCATATGATGCTGCTTCTGCCACCACAGGTAATCCGGTAATCTGGTAATTTAAGTTTCAGCTTCATAGCAAACGGGTCACCCCATAGTTGCTCTGCTCCTGTGCCAATAAAAAACACACAGAATGTGTATCACAGTCCCTTGTGGAAAGACTGACAAACTGCTGTCTCAGCAAATCTAGCATACACTCGCAATAAAAGCATGCGGTAGCCATCCGAAGTGCTAATACAAATAATACGACATTAGAAATGCAGTTCATCATTGATGGTAGCATTAGTCGCCAAAAGATCAGCAGTTGCACACGCGAGCAATTTTAATCAAATAATGACCCACCACTACTGAAATGCTGCATATGTCGACAGAACTGATCGATGACTGGAGAAACGGGATGCTGAACAGATTCCACTATGTAAAAGCAATGCGAAACACTAACAACAACTCAACACCAGCGAATCAGGGAACTGGTCGAAAAAAATCCACCATCAGCCATTGAGTCACATATTTTGAATTCTGGGCCCAATGTAAACAAGAAAGATGCAGTTATTTACACTTCAGTCCATCGTAGATTATTAAGATTTGTAGCAGGGACCGCTATAAACAGATTTAAGTCCAGAATTATGCAGAGACCTTGCGTTTACTCTAATGACACAGTCAGTTTTTGAATGCAGTCAATTTTGTGTTTGAGTTCGAAGGATTCATTTATTTGCCTTACCTTAATCAATAGCTACTGTCATCTGCACCTGACAAGATACAGCGAAACATGCCGAGTAAAAAGAAACCCTGTGAAATCTATTGTTTGCGTCTTCTTCGTTCAAATTCACAACGGGGAAACATTGCTTTGATCCGTTAGTTGTGGTCCAGGTTTTTAAAAATCATATCGGACAACTGTTGCTATCTGTGTTTTATATAATGTGGCCTTGATGTTACGAGATGGGTATATTATATTTTTATTATATATAAATATATATATATATATATATATATATATATATATATATATATATATATATATATATATATATATATATATATATATATATATATATATAATACATAAAGGATGGTCAGAAAGGCGACTTCAGGAGATCCTCCCAGCACAAGGTCCATTCCCTGTCCTCACTGTCCAAGAACTGTTTGGTCCCGCACCGGTCTCATCAGTCATCTTCGTACTCATACTTGATGAAAAAGAGTGGTCATCAACATCTTGATGGACAACACACACACACACACACACACACACACACACACACACACACACACACACACACACAGACTATATATATATATATATATATATATATATATATTAGGGCTGTACCGAATATTCGCTTCGTATTCGCTTAGGGGCCGAATAGTTGCGGTCGGGCCGAATACGAATAGTGGTTACCTTACACCCGTTTCTGGACTGGTAGAAAAAAAAACATATAAAGATTTCCCACCTTGGTTCATACTGTCAAGAGTTATCTTTGTGCACCACCTACGAGCATACCAAGTAAAAGTCTGTTTTAGTACAACTGGAAATACCTTCAGTAAGACAAGAAGCTGCATTAATGCTGACAACATGGAACGATTGTCTTTTTCTTTTTTTTTTTCTTTTGAAACTAATGCCGCTTTCATGGATTAACTAAGCTGTCAGTGACAATTTACAAGTTTAGTTACTTGTTATAAAACTAAGAATACTTTTATTCCTATGTATTAGTTACCACAGACTGGCTGACTGAAGGACGCAGACAATGAAATGTTTTTAAATGTTTACTATTCTGTACTACATTTTCTGAAGTAAAATTTCAGCGTACATTTGACATTTTGGATGTTTTCTTTTTAGATCTATTTTATACATGAAAGTGGAAGAATGGGACTCAGTTTGAATAGTGGGAAGACAGAAGTAATGGTGGCATCAAAGAAAATAATTATTCCTAAATGTGTAATAAAAATCAATGGTTTTATTTTGGGACAAGTACAGAAATGTAAGTATCTGGGTACATGGATAACGTCAAATGGAAGATGCATTACTGAAATAAGAAACAGAATAGGACAGGCAAAAACTGCATTTTATCAAATGAAGAACATCTTATGCAATATATCTTTGTCATTGAAGGTTTGAAAAAGAATTCTTGCTTGCTACATACATTCAGTTTTAACATATGGCTGTAAGTCCTGGACAATCGGTAGGCAGGCCAAACAATTTCTAGAGGCCTCAGAGATGTGGTTTTACAGAAGAATGCTTAAAATATCTTGGACAGCCAAAAGGAGCAACCAAGAGGTTTTGAAAGAGGTGGGAGCCCGAAGACAACCTATCACAGACATCAGAAGGAGACAGTCATCACTTTTTGGCCATGTTATAAGATGAGGGAAAATGGAAAATGTGGTGACCACTGGAAATATCTATGGGAGGAGGGATAAAGGAATACAACGAGAGAAGATTCTTGACAGTCTTGTTGAATGGCATGGAGGTGTGTCAGCACACGAGCTAATACATGCTGCAGGAGATCGCAGATTGTGGCGAGGCATAACCGCCCATGATGACGATGATTCACTATTTGTATTCGTATTCGGCCGAATAGTTGGTCCAGCTATTCGTATTCGGCTGAATAGTGAAAATCACTATTCGGCACAGCACTAATATATATCGTAATGGTTATAAATATAAATAAATAACATAATCACATAACATATTCTAAACAGACCACAGGCTACCTTACCTATTTTCTCGGACTGCAGCTCCAACTCGTCAAAAAAGTTCAATACAGTTTCATCATATGTGTTCACGGCCCAGTACTCCTTCAATCTGCGCGTCAGTCCTGCTTCAGTGTTGTGGGTATTCATAACTACCGCCTCTGGAAGGTTCATGACCTTTCGCATTAAGAAAGCGTCGGTTGCTTCTAGGTTGACCACGAACTCTGGGAGGATGATTCTGTTGTAAGCGTCAAGCAGATCCACGCTCGGTTCGTCAGGAGTCAGACCTGTTACAGGGAATGATTGTGAAAAAAAAGTATGTGGTAAGTTTGAATTTACGGATCATTCAGAGTCTAAGCAAAGAATATATGTAACAAAAAATATCCCACCGCAAATGATGTTGCTAAAGCTACCACTACTCTTGGTGAGGTTGTTGCTGCTGCTGCCCTTGTGTTGCTGCTGCTGCTGCTACTGTTTTTGCTGCTACTTCTGCTTTTAACAGGCATTGGTACTCCGGAAAACGAGTGCTTAGAAGGGCCGAATGTCAGACGGGCTTGCGTGCCCAATTTGTAACCCTTTGAAAATAAAGTTTGTTCGTTCGTTCGTTCTAATACTACCCCAATACTACTGCTGCTGCTGCGACTACTACTAATACTATTTGTACAATCATACCACCAACAATAACGACAAAATCACAACTACCACCACCAAGAACAACAACAACAACAACAACAACTACTACTACTACTGCTGCCACTACTACTACTACTACTACTACTACTACTACTACTACTACTACTACTACTACTACTACTACTACTACTACTACTACTACTACTACTACTACTACTACTACTACTACTACTACTACTACTACTACTACTACTACTACTACTACTACTACTACTACTACTACTACTACTACTACTACTAACTACTACTACTACTACTTCTACTACTACTACTTCTACTACTACTACTTCTACTACTACTACTTCTACTACTACTTCTACTACTACTTCTACTACTACTACTACTACTACTACTACTACTACTACTACTACTACTACTACTACTACTACTACTACTACTACTACTACTACTACTACTACTACTACTACTACTACTACTACTACTACTACTACTACTACTACTACTACTACTACTACTACTACTACTACTACTACTACTACTACTACTACTACTACTACTACTACTACTTCTACTACTACTACTACTACTACTACTACTACTACTACTACTACTACTACTACTACTACTACTACTGCAGTCTCCACCACTACTAATATTATCGCCACCATCACGGTTAATATTACTATAGTCCGCCCCAGAAGTCCTGCCCAACTTAAAAAATCGATAACGCAGTAACCGTTCGGTGTCATTTTTTAGAATGTGGCAATCAACGCGCTGAGAATGTCCTTGTCAGAATTTCTTTGATGTAAACAAACATCTAGTATTCATTTTGGCTTATTTGCAGTATATAAAAACAGAGACTAATTCAAAGCAGACAGTCAGCGTGCTTACAGTTGACTGAACATTAGAAACCTTTCGAAACATCAAACTGCACGTGTTTCATTCATGGGCGTTTCCCCCTCATGTGGTCATCTCCGGCATTGATCTTCCGTGAGTTCTGTAGTTTTCATTGTATGCGGGATCATTATCATCATGTAGCAGGTCCTTTGCAGAACGTCGCTCTCATCACAGTCTGCATGTAAGAAACTCGGTCTCTTGCCAGTTCTCCCGCCTCATGAACTTTCACACTCAAGGAGTCACTTATATCCTGTGCTCATCTTCGTGTCGGTCGGCCCCTGCCCCTCCTTCCTGGTACCATGCCTTCTGCTATAATTTTTTCCAATCCGTCGTGGCGCTTGATATGACCAAAATATTTCAGCTTTCGAGAAAGGATGCTGTTTATTAGCCAATCTTCCTTGATGTTCAGATCTTTTAAGATGTCAATATTTCTCATCTTCTTTGTCCAAGATATTCTGAGAATTTTTCTATAGCATTTCAACTCAAAAGCCCCTATTCTCTTTCTTAAGGACTGAGAGATAGTCCACGACTCACATCCGTATGTAGCCACAGGGAAGATGCATGCTCTCAAAATTCTAATTTTTATCTCCTTGCTGGTGCTTAACCATAGACTCTTAAGGCTGTTCAATCTTTGCATTGCTATGGCCATTCTCCTTTTAATTTCTGTCCAACAGTCTCCATTGTTGTTTATTATAAAGCCTAGATATTCAAAGTTTGTGACATTTTCAATTTCTTCATCATTTATTGTTATTTTTGGGTGACAGCCAGTTTCATCTGTGGACATTAATTTTCGTTTTCTTTAAATTCAAGAACAGATTTTGATCTTCGCTGTGCTTTTGGACGGACAATATTAAATTTTCTATGCGGGATAAACTACCAAAACAATCCCTATGCATTGCTGCACACGAGAATTGATTTCTAAACAGACTCCACGTGTTACGGAATTTACTGATTATTTTAAGTTTTTAAAGGCTCCTATATTTTTAGTCAAACAAAGATCAAAGAAATTCGTTGCCTAGAGAAAACGGCAGCACCTGTGCAATTGTAAATTATAAAATCTTATGCTCTTGATGAATCTAAGGCCACATACACAAATTGGAGTTGATCTGCACTGGGGTTTTTGAGATGTTTAGTAAAGTGCGAGGGCACGAGTTTTGAAAAGTACTAATATAGCACCACCACTACTACAATGGGAAGTCGTCGTGATGTAGGAACTAATCATTATTTATAGGATGTAGGAACTAGACACAAGCATGCGGATCCGAAGGTCAGTGACTGGGTTCCTGACGTAGCCGGCCTTCTTTAAAAAAAAAAAGACCTTGGTTCCCAGGTGGACCCAGCCATGATTGGGTACTTGGTGCAGTCCTTGGAAGTAAAGGTGGCTGGCATAATACCACCATCACCACTACTACTACTACTACTACTATTACCACAATCACCGCTACTGCTACTGTTATCACTACAACTGCTGCTACTATTACCAACAACACTACTACTACTATTACCACCACCACCACTACTATTACCACTATTACCACCATGGCCACTACTACTATTACTATTACCACCACTACCACTATTACCACAACTACTATTGTTACAACTACCACTTATACTACTATTGCCACCACCACTTCAGGCAGTGTTGACAAGACAGATAATTGATAGACGACAAAATACAAGAAACAGACAACGCACTCTTGTAGAGCTCCCGTGCTTGAGCAATAGTCTTGGGATATCCATCCAAGACAAAGCCTTGGTTCTGACAAGGCATCGACATCAGTTTGTCGCGCAGGAAGCTAATGATATACTTGTCCTCTATTCGCCCATTATTGCTTTCTCTGTTCAGCTCGATCTCGTCCAAGAGGTCGCGGGTGACGGAGGTAAGGTCTGATGGTGGTTCATAGTCATCCATTTCTTCAGGCAACAAGTCACTCAACCTCTTGGTCTTAGCTTTCTGAGAAAGATTGCAGTTGGCACATTGTGACAGCAACGTTTGAATTATATTTGGTGCGGCACAGTCAAGACCTCAACAAAGAAGACTGTAAATTATTTTTATTGGGTGGGAGCTCTAGAAGAACCCAACTCCTATTAAAGTGCTCAATAATATTAATAATAATAAAAATAATAATAATAATAGCAAAAAATAAAAATATGGCTTCAGTAATCCTAGAGATAAGATCGACGTCTTTCTTTATGTCAGGGGCTGCGTGGTCTCCAGACATGATAAAGATAAAGTTAACAATTTACCTTTGGCAGTATGATAAAAATAAAGTAAGCAATTTAACTCTTGTGGTATAAAGAGTATAAAGTTAACAAGTTAACTTTAGTGATATAAAGCAGATAAAATTACCAAGTTATTTTTATCCATATAAAAAGAAAAAGTTAGTAAGTTAACAAAATTGATAACAAGTTGGGAAAGTTAACTATAAAAGCTCAGTATTACAAAGAAGAGGAAGATGGCAAATTATATTTGGCGATGTGTAGAACAAAACGTTAGCAATTACCTTTTGATATATGAACGAACGAACAAACTTTATTTTCAAAGGGTGACCAATTGGGTACGCAGGCCCGTCTGACATTCGATATAGAAACAGATAGCAATTACTTTTTGATACATGAAGAAACAGTTAGCAGTTACCTTTTGATTTATCAAGAAAAAGTTAGCAATTACTTTTTAATATATATGGAAACCATTCGGAACTACCT